TTGACTCCAGCCTTTTCGTCGTCCTTCTTGTCCTGAGATGAGTAATTAACACCCATGTTTCCATGTAGAATTAAATGGGCTAGTTACCTGACACGCGTAGATAGTGTCGTAAAGACACGTCCAGCTAGGGATGCACCGTCAACCTCTCGAAGAAAAAATGTCTTGCTAGCACTTACCAGCACGACGCAACAGCGACGTTCAGGATCATGCCCCAATCGAACTGACCCGTAATGGCCACCCACGTGAATGGGACGGCCCAGCTAGCAGCAAAACCTTGGAACTAGATAAGACAGTAAACAAGTTTTGATTTCAAAAAAGCCGTACCGAGGTACAAAGACGGCCAATACATCCAACGCTTCATCAGCGGATACGTCCCGCCACAAGCAGGGAGTCCAACAAGACCAAGTGTGAGACTAGAGCAGCTTATCAGAGATGTCTTAAGACTAGTTGAATGGCCTACTCACGCCGTAGGGCCAGCAGTTGAAAACATGTAAAAGATGGCAGCAACGAGCACAAACAGAAGAACCGAGGCCTCTGTCATAGTGACAGCTCCAGACGCGATCGGTCGGCCTTTCGAACGTTCTGATTGAACAGCATCAAGAGATTGGTGACAGTCAGGACGGAATTGACATACCAACTTTGCGATCGAAGTCGCGATCAAGCATATCATTTATGACACAGCCCGCACTATGTACCAGCGTGCCCAACAATGCATAGAACAAAGTGTTCATGATGACCTCATTCATGGGTAATGCAACATGGTATGATGCTGCCAGGGAGCCCCACGCTAGGTACGATGAATTAAACCAACAAGTAATGTCCCACATGCATCTTCTAACTCACCAAAAGGCCAGAACATGAAGTCGGACCCCACTGGAAACCAGTGAATCCTGGTGAGCTCCACCAATGATCTTGCCTTGGAGGGCATTGTGACAAGTGTGCAAGGAGGTAAAAAAAAAGTGGAATGGAGGACCAGGTACACCAGCCGTGCTCGTTTTATATGCCTACATGAGCGCTAGGAACGAATCTTCGAATGTGCTGTTAAGCAGAGCCTCCTAACAGATGTCCCTGAGCTTGCAATACCGGAGGGGGGTATGGCATGCTACTTGACATGGGAATTCCTTGTTCTCACTCACTAATAACATCTTCAATAACGTCTGATTTACGGTGACTTCCCGTAAGAATTCACATCTTTATTCTGTCAATTCTTACGGGAAGTCACCATAAATCAAGCGTTCACCTGTAAAAGTTTGAGCGTGCGGTGCCCTGTTACCACTCCGCCATCATTCGGCTGCTAAGTCGCGGCAAAAACTATTAGGTTCCAGCAGTGTAACGTAGGAACGTAATGAAATGACCTCAGGGATGGCTCAAATTCAGGCTCCTTCCCAGCCGCTGTGTCGAGAGAAGCAAGGGCGGCATCCCAGTACCATGATAGAACTTTATGAATTTCGGGACCCTGGTCTGGGTGCAAAAATGTGAAACACTGATCGTCCCGGACTCTTTATATCCTTTGTTGTTGTTTGTCCCTTCGAGGGCATCTATCGGGAGATGTTGAAAGTCTTACAGGTATCACGTGCACCCGGACAATCCAGACACGCTGAATAGGTTTTCATACTACGAGATGGTCACGCAGGTTCGTGTCTCATGAGTTCGTGTTTTCACTCTAGCACATGCAATTCTACTTATGCACATCATACATGTGAAAATGTGAAGGGGGAGTCAGAATCGTTGAAGTGTTTGATGCAACATACATCCATTGCTAGAAGGGAAGCCATCCTTACAAGGCCATCGAGTATTAGACTCTGAGTCGTAACCAGTCCGAGTCTAATGGATGAACTGCAGACTTCAATAGCGCTGTGGGTGGTTATTGTAGATACATGGAAATGATCCTACTACCTGACCACAGTGATAGAAATGATCGATGCATTGATGAGGACGGTTGAGGCCTAGGATTGATTACAAAATTTGCAATTGTCCATGAAGGTTTTACATAATGTAGCATCTTGATTCAAATGAGGTCTTCAATTTTACATTGGGATGTCTTAATGAATCAATTAATCACTATGTGCAATGTGCACTTAAGTTGCTTAGTTACTTAGTCTCTCCTTTCAAGTAAATCATGATGGAAGGAAGGAAGGCAGGCTTGTTTGATCTCTCTGTAGCCGGACACATTGGAGCAACTCTCAATATTCTACATCATTGTATGTAGGCAGACTACATTAATATTTGCCAGAGTGCAAAAACTATGCATGGCAAGAGACATGTCACTTTGTGGAGCAAGGTCATGTTGGATGGAAGATAATTTGAAATCACATGAGATAAAAGAACATCATAGAAAACAAATGACCTAGATCTAAAATCTAGAAACTCAAAACTGTAGCAATTCCGAAAGTTCAAAGCGCTGGCCAATTGCTTGCATATTGGAGTAAGGTCAGAAGTTCGCAATGTGAACCTGTAGTTGCATATCACCCACATTTGTAGCCTGCCATCTGGATGTAATCATCATACAACATCATCAGTTGTTTGCAAGTTAGATAGAAAAACATAAGCAATACAAACATGAAAGCACAAGGTTATTGTAGTGTATGTCAACACAATTGTTGAAGGCATCACTTGAATCCAGCCTGAGATGAAGGTGCATGCTCAAATGGCTAGAGATGCAAGATTAAAGTAATGATCCACAACAAATCCTGCACAAACCAATGCTGCACCATGATGACCTGCCCACAGCACAATGGGATATCAAAATTAGCTCATGATGATATCAGTTCAATGTACTGTAAATTTCTCCCAGCTGTCTTTAGTATCATTATGATCAAATAACCATATGTGCCAGAGACAGAGAAGGAAGGGTGCAATGACACTCATCACGTAGAACGGGAGGTGCTGGTCATTCATGTACCCAGCACATAGAAGACATGCAAAGAAAATCAAAAATCACATTGAATATGCTCAATGCCAAATGAATGTCATCGCCAAGACGGACCACCATGGACTTGACTCCAGCCTTTTCGTTGTCCTTGTCCTGAGATGATGCAATTAACACCCACATTTCAATGCGGAACAAAATGGACTAGTTACCTGACATGCATAGATAGTGTCATAAAGACATGTCCAGCTAGGGAGGCACAGTCAGCCCCTCGAAAAAAAACACCTTGCTGGCACTTACCAGCATGATGCAGCTGCAATGTTTAGCATCAAACTGACCCGTAATTGCTACCCACATGAATGGGATGGCCCAGCTAGCAGCAAAATTTTGGAATTAGATAAGATGGTAAATAAAATTTGATTTCAAAAAGCCATACCAAGGTACAAAGACAGCCAATACATCCAATGCTTCATCAGCGGATACGGCCCTCCACAGGCAGGGAGCCCAATAAGACCAAGTGTGAGACTATAACAGCTTATTGGAGATATATTAATACTTGTTGAATGATCTACTCGCACAGTAGAGCCAGCAGTTGAAAACATGTAAAAGATGGCAGCAATGAGCACAAACAGAAGAACCGAGGCCTCTGTCATAGTGACAGCACCCATTGTGATTGGTCGGCCTTTCGAATGTTCTAATTGAACAGTGTCAAGAGGTCAGTGACAGTCAGGATGGAATTGACATACTGACTTTGCGATCAAAGTTGTGATCAAGCATATCATTTATGACACAGCCTGCACTATGTACCAGCATGCCTAACAATGCATAGAACAAAGTGTTCATGATGACTTCATTCATGGGCAATGCTACATGGTATGATGGTGCCAGGGAGCCCCACGCTAGGTATGATGAATTAACCAACAAGTAATGTCTTGCATACATCTTCTGACTCACCAAAAGGCCAGAACATGAAGTCGGACCCCACTGGAAACCAGTGAATCCTGGTGAGCTCCACCAATGATCTTGCCTTGGAGGGCATTGTGACAAGTGTGCAAGGAGGGAAAAAATTGGAATGGAGGACCAGGTGCACCAGCCATGCTCATTTTATATGCCTGCATGAGCGCTTGGAATGACATCTTCGAATCTGCTGTTAATAGTGTTGTTGGCAGGTTACTGCCATTCTGCCATTCACCATTGCAGAACTTGAAATGGTACTGGAGCTAGTGTTATTGGCAGATTACTGCCATTCTGCCATTCACCATGGCAGAACTTGGCAGAACTTGAAAAGGTATGTCAACAAAAGTAATATCATCATATAATCACAAATAATCAGTAGAATAGGTACCAGACATGTGACCGGAGCACAGGTGAGATCCCTGACTCCACTTTAGTGGAAGTGGGTTCTGTGGCAAGCAAATAAACATTTCTCTGTAAATGGACTTGTGGGTGTGGAAGGAGTGCTTAGTCAGTAGTTATGGGAAAGCATTGTGCTAGCCTTTTTCTTTCTCAAAATTAAACACTTGCAGATCCAGATACTATACTTGTTCATACATCAGCAAAACCACTGAAATGAACACTTACAGTGTGTTGCATGTGAGATTGCAGTACATGTTTTTCAACAACTCGGTTTCATTACCTTTACTGGCACTTTTACACCCTAATTAGGTCAAGGGATGTGACATGTCACTCTATATGGTGTAACACCTGCACATTTATTATTTGCGTGTTCCACACCTTGTGTGGTGCATGTTTTTGTCAAAAATTGCATGGTGCATGTTTCCCACTCCCAAATTTCCTAAGCAATTCTGCATACTGTCTTTGTATCAGCTGATTGTTCACAGCTACATCAGTAAACTCACATGCTCTGTACAGAGCTGTACAGGGTCACACAGAATGCCAGGTCTACAACCTGGTCCCCTTTGGACAGCCATGTACAGTATCTGACAGAACCTTACAGAAGGCACTCTTGGGACTCTGTATATCATTTTTCCCAGTGCTTCCCAATAGTATAGAGTGCCAGCAGTAGGAACGAATAACAGATAAAATTGATCATATTGCACTGACAAACATGACACAGCTAATTCTACAGAATACAGTGCTGGGTGACACAAAAAAACGATACAAAAGAACACTAGTCGAGCACCACCTTCAAGTGATCAGGTCTTGCTTGCAAGCCACAGCCATCGAGCTTTAAGCTTTGTGACCTGTATCATACAATTAGTGTCATAAAAAATGAAAGAAGAATCACTCACCAGCCATATGCAGCCCACTCTTCAAGCTGTTTGATCAACTTTGGGCTGTGGTATTCATCCTTCAAAATGAGCTGGATCATTTCCATCATCTCTTTGTAGATTGGTTCATACTCCTTCACAGTGAACTTCAGAAAAATCTTGCCAGATCCATTCTTTGAGAAGCCAAGCAGGACACAATCGAACTGCAAATGTAGAAGTCAGTGACTTTAATATTCAACTAGAATAATAAATACCACAGTGGTGATGAGAGCTAAGCATGACAAAGGTAGCTGATGGCGAAATAAATCTAGTCTTTTCTGAGCAATTCTGTATGATCCGGTATAGTAGAATAGTGCAATGACTTCTCGAAGTGCAGGATTTGCAAAGTTATTGGTCTTTCCCTGTTTCCATATGTTAGTGTCATGGGGGATGAACAGGAGAGTAAAAACAAAAACATTTGAATCATATCTGTTTTGCAGGAACAGAGAGTTGATGCATAACTCTAATGCTGCATTTTGGACCCATGTTAAGTGTTCATGTGCAGGTACCTCATCAGGTGGGATGAGATCTAACATTCTTGGGACCAGGGAAATTATGACCTTCTTCAATTCAGACCGCTAAGTTGCAAGATCATTGTAGAGCTGTGATGATAGTGTGAGAGCAGGCCTGTGCTATGACAGACATACTTACCAGCCTTGCCATGTTGAATTTCTGCACAGGCCACACACCTACACTAAGATTTAGACACTACAAGTCAGAAGCATGTGAAGACGTACTGCTCTCAACCTGCTTCCCAGTCTTCTCCCACTTGGTCTTGAGGGACACGAGGACTTCAGTTATTGAACATGGTAAGTCCTTGATCAGATTTGGAAATGGGTTGTCCAATGTGTGGACTGTGTGACACTCTCCCTTCACTTCCTCCAAGAAGCTTTTCCACCCATTCTTGTACCACCCAAGTTGAGTGAGCTTTACTTCAGATCTTGATGGTGGAGCTTCATGTTGAACATTGGTTTCAGATTGCTGGCAGAGTATTTCAAGATGCCCAGGGTCAGGGAGATGACATCAGCCATTCTTCTTCTGGTGTTGCTTGAGGACATTGGTTGGCTTTGGCTTTGGCTGTGCTGATGTGAGATTAGTTATTGCATTGTCTTCATCGTGCAAATATTGAACATTCCACTTTGGCTGTGCTGAAGCCAGAGCAGCTGCTGCATTGCCTTCATCTTCATCATGTGAATATTCAAACTCAAACTCGAGCATCAAAGGACGTGAGTTTCAAGGTGGCTAAGGAGGTTCCTGGGGAAATCCTGAAGGTAAAGTAAGAACCAACAAGGGAAATTTGTGAGTAGAACATATAGGTCACCTGGATGAGATGTGCAGCATCCACCAAATGCTTCCCAGTTACCAATGTCAGTATCTCTATCAGCACCTTCATCTTCCTCTTCAGTGTCCTCATGTGCTGAACTCTCGTCACTGTTTGTGCTCCCACTGTCCTCAGGGTCTGATTCATCACTCATCAAAAGATGATTCTTAGTCTGCAGTGCCGGGCCTGTAACAGGCTTTAGAAGCCTTTGGAGCACAGCAGCCTGAGATTGAACAAAAGACTGATTGACATACTGGGGGGTGTTTGAAAACCTTGGTGCACTTGCACCAGTTGAGGACACCTGAGTCTGTAGCGCTGGATCTATGAAATGCTCCAGAAGCATTGTGGGTGCATCAGGCTGATAGGTACACTGCAAGGTGTTTGGAAACCTTGGCTCCAACTGTGCACTCGTGGCATGTGATGGTGCTGTGCTGGGAGGGAGTGCTGTTACACAGGGATTGATTGTACTAGTGGTACATGAAATTGCATTGTTCCTATGTGGTATCTGACCCATGGCAGCTGCATAAGGGTTATCTGTACCAGGTGGCACAATTGATGGAGGCTGCAACACATCACATTGCAAGTCAGATACCATAAATGATTCTAAAGGATGATAAACCTTACCCCACATATATCCATGGAATTCCTTTCAGCTGCAGTATATGGAGGAGGAGCAATACCCTGAGAATTGAAAAAAATAAGTCTCAATTAACACCTCATGGGGACACATACCTTTTTAGATTTGTGAACCCTGCAAGGTTCAGGAGCCTGTGGATTGTTCAGAATATTGGGGCTGAAGGATGTAGAGCCTTTTGAGAATTGTTTGCGAGATGATCCTTCAAAAACTGTTTCAAGTTTTTCTAACTGCACATTTCATCCACCTATCCCCCCATTTCAACAACCAGAGTGTTGAGGGCCACAGAGTTCATCCGAAAGAGCAGGATGACTATCAGCAGCTTCTACATTGTGAGTACGTGGAGTTTGTATTTTCTTGACTTGTCCAGCTGGAGGTCCATTATCGAGATCTTGACCTTTTCTCTTGCCTCTAGATTTCTTTGGGCTAGGCATGATCATAGAAGGCCAAGGCAACACTGCCAGTGGAAATGTGAATTAGTTGTCTGGACTCATCATTAACTTCTTCAATCCATTGTTTATACTCCAGTGACAGACTTTGAAGCATCTGATGTAATTGTAGCAGCTGCTATTATGTTGTCATGCTATCCAATCTCATATTTCACCTTAAAAACTGAGAATCAGCATGAGGCAAACAGATTGAGCAATGCACCTCAAGGTACACATGTAATATTGTAGCACCATAATCCAATCTTATCTGGTGTCGTGTCCTTTGCCAAAGAAAAAATGAAACATCACGATTGACAATGCAAGGAAAACAAAATGAGTAATGCACATGTAGTAATAATGTTAAGGTTGTACTCAAGGGTTAACGGATCCTAAGGGCTTCAGCCTCAGCTAGTGTGCTGTGCCCCTTATTCGAGTATTGCCCCTTATTTCAGGAAGGCAAGACTAATGCGTCTGGAGGGTTGGACAGGTAGTGTAGTGGATCTGGATGACTTCCAGATGAGGGATAAGTATTGTAAGACTAATCCAGACAAGTCCAGACTAGAAACTAGTGGTAATGGCTGTCATAGACAGAGGCAGATGTGGATAGACTATAAGAATCAATCCTAAGTCTTGGAGGGTGATGAGAGTAGTGGTACTCAGGTCTGGAGGACGGGAATGAGCAGAACTAAGTTGATATTCAAACTAAGGTACTACAGAGAGTTACAGGAGGTTATATACTATAGGTATCTAATGGAATGGTCAATCAGCAGAGTCCAAGGCTATGTATGAAGCATATGGATGGTCTATTGGTAAGTAGAAATGGATCACAAATAATGAAATGGAAATGAAGCATAGGTAATGGATCAGGGAGCAGGACAGATATACAGATAACTGAAATACCAGAGTTAGGGGATTACTGAAAAGAGATGAGCGCTGGTTGTGGATTCAGATGAGTTGTGGACCAGACTGGACAAGTGGACAGAATGGATGATGAGATGTTGGAGGGAGATAAGATGTGGATAGGATCTGAGATGAAATAAGGATCGGATCTGAGATCCAGATATGCGGATATGACAAATAATGATAATACCATCCAGCATTGCCAAAATGATGACCTTTGTGAAAGAAAAATGGTGCAGTGTATATGGACAGTTGCAAAAAGTCTGTGAATGAACTCATCAGTGCAATTGATGAACCTTGGTGAGAATTGGCAAGCATGAGTGTTGTGAGATGGTGGGCAAAGACCATTGTGACGAGGAAGAAATACAAACTAAGACATACAGTTGAATTAGCTACCACCAGCAGCATATGGCTATCATAGTACAAGTACAAGTTCAACCTACACACTAAAAATCATGCTAAATCAAATGGTATGAGTAGTATTCTAAGTAGCCTTCACACGTTTCTTCGAAAGATAAGTTCCCTCAGATTCAGGGACCACAATTCTTTTGTGCTTCACCTCAACATCTTGCCCCAGAGGAAGCTTTAGTGCCTGCGATGAGATATGTCATTCTGGAGAAAATTCATCTACCTGGTATTCCAACAGAAAAGAGTCCAGGAGTTCCAGCACTGTGTCACAGCTTACTGGCTCCTTGTCATTGTGTTGCATCATTTCCAACCAAGTATCCATGAGAGTCATAAGGTCTTTGAAGTATGGGTGGATTTGTGAGAGGAGAGTTGCCTTTCCCAAGCAGTAAAGGACATATTTGGCTCTGATACATGTTGTGGTGTCCGGGTTAATCCACCCATCTGTCATCAACCCTTTTTTCCCCCACTCCATCCCAAGAGGGCCTGAGTAGTTGAGGAGGACCCAAAGAAACACCCATAGCACTGACTCAAGGTCGTCTATGTAGCCTTGTTCTATGGTAGGAAGTGTTTTGGGAGTAGTACCAGATGCTCTCTTATGAGAGTGACTCAAAGTGGTGATGGACCAATTGGCCATGTCAGCCTTGACCAATTGACTGAGCAGCTTGCACAACATAAATAGTATTGTGCCTGTACCACCCCTGGTGAGGATTCTTGTATTATCAGAGGGAGGAGTGCTGGGGGCATGGATTGCAAATTTCCAGTCAATTAGGCACCCTTGAATGGTACCCTTGAGGTCTTCAATCATTGCATTGTGAAGACTACAATCACGATGGACAATATTACACTTTGATGCTGCATGTATGACTGAGGTAGGGAGTGGGGGTGATCAGAGATTAGCTTTGAGTGATAAAAGCATACATACTAGAAATGATATTGTGTAGCACTGTCACCAATTCCCTCTTAGATCTGAATTCATGCAACAGGTGGGTGCAGGGTGTTAAAACAAGATGCACATGTGTGTGATATGACTTGGATGTGCTCTGGAAGTCCATGAAGTGAAGGTGGTTGGTCTGGTCCTGAGTTTGATCACCTCACTCAATGACCCAATAATCTACAAGCTGAGGGACTCCAGCAATGCCCTGCATCCACTTCAACATCTCTACCTTGTTGAGAACATCCTCTACATCCTGTCCTTGTACCCAATGATCCTTGACAATGAATTCCTGGTCTGCAAACTTGACCAGGTAACAGATGGTTCCTTGACCAGTAAGCCCTCAGTTGTAGAATAGTATTTGCAAGATATCATATATCTTCTCTCTGATGCGAATTTTGCTGATGGGGTCTTTGTTGGAAGGGGGAGGGGGGAAAAGTGATGTTGGTACATCTTGTTTGTCTTCATCAGGGTGAGTTTCTGATGGAAGAATTCCCATTGAAGTGAACACAGGGTCAAGGTGAGATGGGCCTTCAAGGTATGACTCATGCTCTTGAACTTCACATGACTCCATAGTATGAGTCACATATCCAGAATCATCTGTGTGTCCAGCAACAGAGTGATTGCAGTCACTGCTAGATGGGCAACTTGCTTCAATGATATTGGGCCCAATCTTGCTCTTCTCTTTGGAGATACCTTCTTCTGAGTTAGGGATGAGGTTAGCTTCTCCGACAATGACATTATCTTGGGCACCATCACATGTAATGGCCTTGTGAGGCACTGCAGTGCGATGGGAACTGCTGGCACATGTGGAGGGGGTAACATAAAATACAATGGTTTGGTCATAACCGAGACACTTGGGAGATCCAAAGACAACAGCACCAAGTATTTGCAGATACACATCTGCATCTCTGTCGATGTTGAATGTAGGGGATACCAGGCCCCCAGAGTGATTGTACAGGTGAACACAGAGTTTGTGGTATGACTTGGAGAATGATAAAAAGAGTATGGATTGCCACCAGGGTTGTTCGCACATTAAAAGATATGCTTTGTGTCAATAGAGTTGCCAAGGTGTCCAGCAGATGAATAATCACTGAATGTGAGTTCAGCACATAGCAAGATATTCTTCCACCCCAGATCAATGATATGATCTGATAAGACCAAGTCAGGCTTCCACATGATATCTTGACTTTGGGCTGCTTTGGTAGAGAAATTTGAGTACCAAATCCATGATGCTTGAGTGAGCTTCAGCCCTGGCTTTGCAAGCAGTAGCACCTCTGAGATGACATTGAGATATACAGTAAACAAAAATTTGTTTGTCTCTCAGGCTCCCTACCAATATAATTTGATTAGACTCACATCCATGGAATCAGCTACATACCACTGGAGTCACTGATGATACAGGAAAGTCCCAGTTCCAATGCATCATCTGACTATCATACAATGGCACCATTTCATCCTCTTTTTGCCCCTGGAAACACACTTTTGCTATACTATTACATCTTAGCTTCCTGAGCTTGATCTGAAGGTCCCAAGTGCGGGGAACATCATTTAGCTTGAAAGATTTGAAGATCAGCAGTAGAAAGTGACCCAAGCCAATTTCTGCAGTTTCATAGCTAACCAAGCAATCTAGTTCTTTACTGGTGAGTAGATCCATGGTGGAGATGTTATGTTTTCCAGGAGTGACAATTTGGGCTACTACAATGACCATGATAGTTGAAGGCACAACCCAATGGGACTAGTAATTGAGCAAAAACTTGTCCTGATATGACTAAAGACTATGTAGATAAGGAGAAAAATAGTTGTTTGTTCCAATATTTATTTAGCCAGAACTCTGAACAATGTTCCAGACTGTTATGAGCAGTGAGATGACTATCTGCGGTGATGCCAAACCGAGGGATGAGGTTCACAGGAGCCTTGATTTGGGATAATGGTATTACATTGCCAAGGCAAGTTCCATTAGATTGCTTCGCTCTCTTGAGGATATGTAACTGTGTAGACAGGTCAGGAGTATTGGATCCCAAGACTGGGATAATATCAAAGCATTGAGCATAAGCAAGGAAGTGATTGTGACATGTGTTCCCTGCAGTTTGAATAGGGTGTGTGATGAGTCTCAATTGAATAATGCTATGACCTAGATATAAATATTAAAAAACATATCAAGTGAATGACATGTGAGAATGTACCTTGGAGGCCACTGGCAGGCCACAAGAAACCTACTTCAGTGTTGACAATAACTGGATCAAAATGCCCGCAAGGCCAAGTATCACAAGGAGGAATGCAGTTGAGTGTTTGTGCAGGTTGTGTGTTGCTGTTTTCATGGAAGTCAGTGTCTTGCAAGCGCAGTTTGAACCACACTTGCAATTTGTTGAATGGAAGTTGCACATGAAGGTCAGCTCTTCATCCTCCACCTATTGAATGGACATGATGTTGCCCATGAGTAGCCTCACAGTAGAGAAAATCAGTGAGGGCAGCATGTAAGTCTGGGAGACCAAATTTTACAGCTACCTCATTGACAGTGATGGTCCTAATGGATGGACTGTATGCAAGATGGAATGCAGTCTGTCCAACTGTGAAAGTGCATAATGGTAGAGGGATGGAGCCAACATCTTTGTAGCATAGACACTGCACAACCACAAAATAATTTGTGATTAGCCAAGAGCAACCAGGGACAGGGATAGTGAATAACAGGTCTGCTGGTATATCATCTTCATCTTCATCAGCCTCATCCTCATCATATCCTTGTTAAATCCACCCAGGGCCAATTTTACTTTGTAAGGATCAAGTAGACCTGTGGCAAGATCGAAGTGATGGCACTTCTCCTCACAATCAAGATAACAGCAAATCTGTGGATTGTAATTATTATTATTGCTGGATTGTGCTGGATCTTTGATGGCAGTGATGTGAGCATGTTCTGTTGTGTCTGCACTCTACTGCATGGGGACACCAGTCTTGCAGATACTGGGGATAATGCTCTGTATGAGCTCAATTTTAGGGATGTGCCAATTAGTGATAATCTTTTTACCCTCCCCACAATGAATACCGGCAGTGATTATGGCATCTTTGTTGGCATGAAATTCAGCCAGTGCAGAAGAGATACACTTAAGATTGTTATCATCAATGCAGCTAGCTTGAATAAGATACCAGAAGTCCATGAGAGCACATACAGCAGTAAGGATGGTTTGAGGTACAGTGTCAGTGCTGACTGCAATGATAGAACATTGGATGTCATGATGACATCAGCCAGTGACCTGTTTTAATTTTGAGATGCCTTGGTGGAAATGTCAAAATCCAGTAACATGAGGCAGGACAGAAAAACAGAAATCAATCTCAAGTTCACCAACAGTGTTGATGAGCCATCTCACATCATGGTCATAAAATTCTTGGTGAAAGTGATGCAGCATTTCAGGAGTGAAAAAGTGTGATGGTTCTGCCAGAATCCAATTGTTCCAAAATGGCTTAATGACACCATTTAACCAGAATTTCTGTGCTTCATGGAAAAACACCTCAAGATTGACAGGGTCTGCATGTGAGCAGACAACTTTGAGCTGTGTAAGGGTGAGTGACTTTGTGTGGGGTTCATAGTGAAAAAGGTCCCCAAACTGCTTAAACATTGCCACAGTCAATGGTGATGTCTTTCCCCCAACAGTAGATAGCATCATCACTTCCAGTGTGTCAGCAATATAACTCACAAGTCCAGTGTAGCAATGCCAGTTATTGCCTGCAGGATCTGACATCATGATGCCAACATGAGCAGCTTGCTTGAGCAGTTTGAGAATGATGTCTAGGCATTGATGGATGAGATGGTCCTCTAGTATGCCTCGCATATGTTTGTTCTTGTGAATGAACTTGGGCACCAGAAGGAGGGCAGTAAGGAGAAATGAGTTGGATGTCATTTTTGCATGAGTCTTCATAGATATATTTGCAAGACTAATAAGGAGAGGGTGCACGACTCTATTGCCAGTCAGAGTGGAAATAGTTGTCTTATCTGAGGACAATATAGTTCCAAGGAGCGTGGCACCATTGGGTAGTGTTGACTGAGATCAAATATGAGCAAGCAGAGGCAAAAACAAATAATTCAGCTTACCTGCATGTTCCATGCATCATCACTTGTCATCCATTCTGAGTAGATACAACAATTCCACTCTGCAGTAGCGTAAACCTTGTGAGGTGTGAAGTGAAAATGATCTTGAAAGGAAGGGTCATTCAGAATGCTGGCGATGCATTCTACAGGATTATGCCAGTACAGGATCATGGGGGATTTTGTGGGATAAGATGTTTCAATAACCTTCAACATCCATTGTGGGCCACTTGGTAGTTGTTCTACTTGGCTTTGTAGTTCCTTCACAGAGCAAAATGACAAGGGAAGGGCCTTGATCTAAACACAAATAGTAAGGCTATCATGGGGGAGATGGGACAGAGTAATACTAACCATCTCTAGCAACAAGAATAAGTCAATTTTGCCCATGCTCAACCCTGAATGCAGCAGCCAAGATTCAACTTCCCAATCTTTCCAATGCACACTGTTTTCATCTTCATCAAACAAACTGAGAAAGGTATGTCCACCTTTGTATATTTCTGCAAAGCCCAGGAACGTGTTAATGAATTTTCTGCTGGATAAATGCTTGTCTGAAAACCCTCCAGTATTGGTTGGATAGTCATTGTAGTGAGTGAAATGTTCCTGGTCCACTGACATATCAATTGGATCATCTTCTGGGGACCATAAATTTGATCTCAGGTGGATGATATCCTCCATCCAGGTATTGCATCCTGATCTGGGCTGGCTCATGTGATGAGCAACTGTTTTGTGGGTATTGAATCTGCCTCTGTGGCATGAAGGACATTGAAGCATTGCTGAAAGATGATACCAGCATTTGCCATGTCATGTGAACTTTGTTTATCACTTACTACTAGTCACTTACTCTAAGTCATATTTCTATTCACCATGCCTTGTGAAGATCTCAACACAGCATGCAGTCAGATTAATCCTATATTGACACTCCCAAATCATTCACCCAACACTTGCACAACTCAAAATTCACACACTAAGCTACATGATATTCTTGAAAGTCTCAATTCATTGGTACATCAGATGTTTCTGATATTTGAAAGGTTAGGTTAATGGCAGTTGTGCAGACAATCGATGATCCAAACAACCCTTGATCACATCTTATAATGGATCTAGCAAGTGTGAAGTGCAACATTTTCAGAGCAGAGTGGCTTCTTGCAGATTGTGTGGCATGGGAGCATGAGGTCATGGCTAGCTTACTCAAAACCAAAGTCACCACCTCACAATGTAATTTCAGGTGGGGTGATACTGGTGATGAGTCCCAGGTTGATTGCAGGACTAGCATAGTAGTGCCACTGAGGCGGCATGTCAATGGTATGTTCAGCCTGTTTTTTCTCCTTATTACACTACTGACATTTTCTAGGGTCCTGTATTTATCGCATGTGCAATGTCACCATTCAACTTGATTAACCTGACTGAGCATACTATGTACTAGCAACCAACTTGGACTGACATGTGTACTATTAATAGTATATACAGTGGCTCAAAAAAGTGTCTCAATGTTTGTGACTTTTCATGTAATTGCTGTATTATGAGCCAGGGCATGAGAATATGACTAAGCCATAGGGAGGTGTGGGAAAGCTCTGCTTCTAAGCTTCACATTTGATCCCTATAGTGTGGGAAGATTATGTCATCAAGTGAAGATATGGTTAATTTAATTTGGTGACTCATTGAGACACTTTTTTGACTTTTAGTTTGGCCAACACAATCTCTATAATTCTAGTATTTGGTGCTTCCTTCTGTTGCTCTAATTACTTCCACCACTCTTCTATGCATATTATCTATCAATTTGAGGCATTCCTCATCAACAATCTTGCCCCACTCTGCTGCAACTCTCTCCCACAGCTGAAATAGCCCCTATTATTATCCTCAGCTCTTCTAATCTGTACACCAGGCAGATTGCTATCAAAACTGGTCTGAGCAGGGTTACTATCATTAGGATCATAAAAAAGTCATGCCAGATAAGAAAAATATCAAACTAGATTGTCCTTTCAAGCTTACACCATATAACAAAAAATCTCTTGTTCATAATATTCCAACTAGGCAGGCTGCCAATGCTACTCAAGTCACCAAACTTATTAATTACATCATCTACACTGCTCTCCACTCAAATAGTCAAGAATACTCCTAAGGCAGCCAATCTTAAAGCTATAAACAGGCAGAAAAAACCTTTCCTGTCTTCAGCCTATAGGAGACCAGCCTTGGCTTTAAAGCCTCAATATTGGATTGTTGAGGACTGGAATAGGGCTACCTGGTCAGATGAGACCACAATCAATAGGATGGGGTCAGATGGCTAGGAATATATGTGATGGAAGGCAGAAGAACTACTAGAAGAAAGAAAAGTCAAGAAAACACTAAAGTATGTAAAGTAGGAAACTTGATGGTATGGTGTTGTATGAGGTGGAATGGAGTAGGAATTCTCTGTGAGGTGGGGGGGAGGATGAATGCAGAGTAGCACATTTCAATTTTGGAAAACTATCTGCTCAGAAGCATGCAAGAATCAAGAATTATTGAATAAGATGTTACCTTCTATCAAGACAATGTCCCTGAGCATACTTCAAGTTGACCATAAAATGGTTTGAAAACTATGGTATCAGTGTGCTATCATAGCAAGTCCAGTCCTCAGACATCAACCCTATTGAACAGCTCTGGTAATTACTCAAGATATCACTTGCAGTTCATCAAGATCCTCAATAGGGGCTATTTCAGCTGTGGGAGAGAGTTGCAGCAGAGTGGGGCAAGATTGTTGATGAGGAATGCCTCAAATTGATAGATAATATGCATAGAAGAGTGGTGGAAGTAATTAGAGCAACAGAAGGAAGCACCAAATACTAGAATTATAGAGATTGTGTTGGCCAAACTAAAAGTCAAAAAAGTGTCTCAATGAGTCACCAAATTAAATTAACCATATCTTCACTTGATGACATAATCTTCCCACACTATAGGGATCAAATGTGAAGCTTAGAAGCAGAGCTTTCCCACACCTCCCTATGGCTTAGTCATATTCTCATGCCCTGGCTCATAATACAGCAATTACATGAAAAGTCACAAACATTGAGACACTTTTTGAGCCACTGTACCTCATTGTATTAGTATTACCTTTGTTCCTGGCTGCAAATAATATTTACTTGATGATCATGATTTAAGCTCTCCATGTGACTTGAGCCAGCACCATTGAAATTTGAGTAGCAGTATGCCAATGTGTAGAGTCTATAGTAGTGTGATATTATTGTACTACAACTATAATAGCCTTGGTACAAACTTCATTGTACTTTGAATATCTGAGTCACATTCAAGTTGTTACTGTAAGTGACTGTGGGCATCTGTAGTCCTTGCCTGTGAAATAATTGTGTGGCTGGGTGAGCTATTGCAGCTGTGGGACTCTGTCAATACCTAGTCGCTAAAGTCAAGTCTGTGGGAAATTTCTGGTTTACTGATGTAGCAGGCCAAGTCACTACATCATGCTCAGGGACAATATATAAAAGCACAACATAGACGAGTAAGTCTGTTTCCTGCTATTTTGTGATATCCTTCTTACCTTGTTTCACCTACAGGAGCTTGTGTTCCATCTCTATCCTGGCTCTTGTTTATTGTGAGTGATGGACAGATATTATATAGTACATGCATCTGACATGCTCTTCTTGCCCAAAGCTTAACACCACAACATGACCTTGGGCTCCCCACACTTCCTTGTCTCCATCTGTTACTGCCTGTAGTTCTCATAGTACAACTCCTTCATCAAACATATGGTCAAACATGTGCATATAGACAAAGTAGAGAGTGCAACTTGTGGAAATCAAAATAGTTTTCATTCTCAACTTCAGCGACACCCCAAGGGTACTCACTGTGACCCTTGACAAGGTGACCATAAAGGGACTGGGCATCTTCAGTTAAGCCAATGATTGAGAAGGGGATGAGCCATCAGTGAACCAGCACTCAGTAAGCCTAAGTGACAACACATCTGCATCAAATGAGTGCCTGCAAAGTAGTAACAAGTAAATCATGTATCTGACTGCAAGATATCATTAGTAGGTGAGGCATTATGAGGGTACAAGTTGAATGTAGCAATATGGAATGAGATGATGAGGATACTAGTATGAATGGCAATGCACAAAGAACAAAAACTATGAAATTAATGTGCCTGTGATTTGGGAAACAGACCTGGTTACCATCAAATGTTGTGCAACATAGCCTATGCCAACTCTCAAATTACTCAGAGGTTGGCAAGATTCAGCATAGAGTAACGGGAGTCCCAAGGATTGATGTATTCTGCAAAAGGGTCATCGTCCTGTATCTTGTCACGCCACAGGACATCTGCTTCACTGACCAAGATAAAGTCTGGTGGAGCAGATATCTTGTTCTCTACTTTGAGGGTAGCTGGCACTCAACCAGTCATAGTATGAAATGATACCATTTCTGAAATAACAGCAGCATAGATGTTCATCAACAAGTAGTGTAAATGAGCAGAATGGTAAACTCATTATAACTATTGGATTGAGCCCTGATCTGGGTTGATGGAGGTGGTTCAAGTTCAGAGGCAGATTCAGAGTTCATTGAAAATAAGGGAACAGCAGTGCCACTTGCAGGTTCTAGAACAACAGATAAAATAAGCTCAGTTGCCATAATATTTGACAGATGAACCCTTTTTGAGTTTCTTCTGAACTGCTTTCCTAGTAGCTTCTGATGGTGATGGGGAAAGTAGAGTGTGACTGCACTTTGCTAATGAAATAGATGAGTTCATCATACTATAATTTGAATCACAAATAGTACTCACCATTCCATCTTCTCATGGGTAACTTAGCAGGTGCTGCCTTGCCTTTACCCTTTGGTTCCTTGGTGTCTGAATCCGAAGACATATTGAGCTCCATCAATGAACTTGCAAGATCATTATCCAACTTGATGTTAACTGAATCATCCATGTCAGACAAAAGGATGTCATTACAATCGTCACATTCAGAATCTGATCCAGCTATCACAGGCTGAGTGTTCCAAGACTCATAAACACTGCTAGGAATCCAGTTCTTTGTGACTAGTGCCAGTAGTATTCCATGAGTACAACTTGAATGAAGCAAAAAACAAATGAGAACACACCAAACCAAAGATGACAATCAGTAACACTTGCTTTGTCCCAGCCCTTATATTTTGCAAGATCACTCCCAGCTGGAAACCCAATATCAATGACTGTTAGTGTTTGTCTGCATTTGTTGAGGAGCCACCAAATTGGCTTCTCTTCATGTTCACACTGTGATGTAGCTGATTGTTGTTTCTTGGCTTGAACATTGAGGTAATTGAAGACTTTATGAAACCAGCTTTGTAGCTGACTAGTCACCTTGTGATAATTCCATCCACTTTTGATGATGAGCTGTTGTTCAAGGTAACAGCCATGGTTTTTCATAGCCTGGATTTCATTTTTGCTGTTCTTGGTTGGGGCTTTGGACACTCTGATAAGACCATCCCTCTGTCAAAAGCTGAGTTAGCAAGTTAACCTGTTTCTCAAAGGCACTTGACTGACATCAACACCACAAGTCAACATGGCCACTGACACAACACAAAACATGTTCCCTGATGTTGAGATACTAGGGATGTGCCTGCCAGTGCATGCTTGGCTTCCAACCATTTGTGAGCTAGTAATTTCCTTATGATCCTGAATGTAATTTTCATGTGAATCTATTTTCATGCACTACTAGGACAACACTTACCTTTCACAAGCCTGCTGATGGTGCTGGGCCCTTGGCCAGCTTGTAATAACCAGCAAGCCGAGTTGATGACATAGTTGATAATGCTTCCTCTCAAGCACTGGTGAGTGGCACTAGGCTTCCTTGCTTGCCTATAGTGGCAAGCTTCAGGTTGTCATTCAAGTTGGCAGTTTTTCCACTAGTGATTTGAGTAAAGATATCCTTGATAGTGGCTGCTGAACTTGGCCAAGGTTGTTCATCAGCATCCTCTTGAACTTCCAGTACTGGTTCACAACTCATTGGAGCTTTCTGGGGATGCTTGCTGCGACCATGGCCACACTCTGTGCAATGGCCTTCATCCTGTGTGCAAGGGAAAAACTCCTCACAGTCACATATTTGACTGTCAGACTTGGGGCCTCTGCAGAAGAGTTCTTGATTCAAGTTGTTGCCTTTGGGATCCATGGCTTGGGAATCGGAAGGCACTAGTGAAAGGGAATGTGGAGACAACTTGAAGCAGTAGACTCAGATGTGCAGATGACCTTAAGCAAGGTAATTACACAGATAGCCTGGCAGTTTATATACACCTAACAAGGATATGACAATTTACATTGATGTGTAGTACTCGTAATTAGTTGCTGCTGGTAGTTAAAAAATATGATAAGACTAATAATGCCTGACACCATAATTTTGCTTGATCAAACCAGATCGGTTCAGCAAGTGAAACATAAAGTTCTTTTGATCCTCATTGACCAAAGGTAATAGTCTCAAATTTCAGGTAGTCATCTCCATCCCACTCATCTAACATTAGCCTGCAATTGTTTGGTGTGATATCCTTGGCTATAACTTCATCAAGGGTGGCAGAAAACTGCTGTCATGTTGTGTTATCAACAAAAGGGTTCTGTTGTGATGGCACACTAATAGCCTCATGATGGACCTGGTGTCTTTGCTGATTGTTGATTGCCTGTACCATAGTATTTAAATGTTCATCATCACTATCTGGGTTGCTGTCTTCTTCATCAGCAGGGTGTCCAGCTCCTGTTTGATGATGCTTTTGAGTTATCATGTGACCATGGACTCTGTAGTACTCATTAATTATGTCAGGATGCATGCCTTCACAGTCATCATGATAGATGCCAAACTGCAAGTGCCCTAAAAAATGTAAATCCTATGTGTCTGTCCAGTAATTTGTCAACATTACATCAAAAATTCAGCTGTGAGTTTACCTTGGGACTCTTATTGTTGGTGTTGGGACCACAAATGGGATGACAGTTCCACTCCACCTGAAAACTTGAGCAATCTAAATTGATTTCATCAAGAAATAAAGTCTGGAGCAGCCAGATGTGATTTGCAGTCTGAGGGTTGAGCCCATGATAATTTTCAAGTCAGGTAAAAAATGCTCTCCATCACCTAGTGAATTGTGTGCCAACCTCAACTCACAAACATTCAATTCAAGTGTTCTGTGTAGAGCTTAGTACATTGGGTGTTAGTACTAAATAACATAAACTAATAGGATCACAACTCACAATCCCCACATGAAGGAGGTATGGTGTGGTCTGTTTTTCATTATCATGTAAGTTGCTATATCAAGATTCTCTCCACCCCAATCTCCTCACACTCAAGAAGGCATCCCAAAAACTTATGTTGCTTGCTTAAAAACATCCAGAACAGTTGTTGAATGATTGTTATTACTTGCTTGCAATCCCATTATCTGGCAGAAATACAAATGAGAATTAATAAATTGTACAAATGAAAATATCAAACTGTTCTGCAGAAACCATCAATAAAACTATGAATGACTATTTCCCAGTGAATTAATTTATGGTGTCCATCTATGTGCCATAATGCATTAGGCCACTTAACATAATACTTATGCTGATGTTTGACCCATCAGTCATGCAACACCTGACCTAATCTGTCAACTCTGCAGAGCGATTCTACCACATGTTGATGCTGCACTCACAGTCCATGCCTGTGGAGAAAACTAATCATGTATCTTATACCTGAATCAGGCTGCTCTTTCTTGAACTCAGTGACAAGATAATCAAGGTCAACATTAGTAAGGTTCAAGTATTTTCTTTCAATTCCATAGCACTTCATATGGCATTGTAATGTGTTCCTGTGGACTCCAAGCATTTCAGAAAGCTCAGTGAGTTTAATTTGTTAGGAAGTAGAGACTGCTTCAGTGAGGAATTCAACATTGATCATTTTTTTTTGGATGGCCTGGATGGCCTGTGTGCAGCAAGGCCACTGGTTCTGGAATCATGACATTGTCATCCATGCTGTTGCACAATCAATGACACAAAATACATACAGTGGCTCAAAAAACTGTCCGCATGTTTTGACATTTTTCACTATCTATGATATTGTGTGAGAATGAACAAATGCCTCAAGGACATGCTTATACCAAATTGTAGTATGGCTTCAGGGCTTTCATTTAAGCCCTACACTGTGGGAATCGGTGGAGATATGGTGGAGACATAAGGCTTATAAAATGATGACTCATGTGGATAGTTTTTTGAGTGTATATTAAAACTATATAAATCATTATTTATGACACCACAAAAATCATGCCACTATTATATAAATTATGAAGTGGTGTCATTATGTTATTTTATGACTATATCTAACTATATAAACCAGAATATCTCATGTATCATAGTCATAATCACCATGAAAGCCATCTCCTCTGCTCAAAGAGATAATATCCTCTCTCTGTCTTATGCTGGCCTCTCTGCTCACCAAATTTCCTCTAGAACTGGAGTATGCAAGTCCACTGTGGCCAAGTTTATCAAAGAAAGCCACCCAGACAAGGAAAACTCTTATGGAGGATGTCCATCCAAGCTTACCTCTACTGACAAAAGGGCTATTATTCAATATATCACTACAGGAAAGGCTGATAATGCTGTCCAAGCCACCCATTATATCAATTCCACCATCACTACCCCTGTCTCTTCACAAACTGTGAGGAATGTTCTCAAGGCAGCTCATCTCAAGGCAGTAACAAAGAAGAAAAAGCCTCTTCTCACCATCAAACATAGGCAGAGAAGACTAGCCTTTGCCTTAGCTCATCAACACTGGACTGTAGAGGACTGGAAGCATGTTATATGGTCAGATGAGACCAAAATCAATAGGATTGGGTCAGATGGAAAGGTATATGTATGGAAAAAGAAGGGAGATGACCTAACAGACAGAGAGGTTAATGGGACTGTCAAGTTTGGAGGAGGTTCTTTAATGGTATGGGGCTGTATGGGATGGAATGGTGTGGGAATGCTTGCTGAGGTTGAGGGGAAGATGAATGCTGAGCAGTATGTGGACATTTTAAATGACCACTTGCTGCCTAGCTTGGCAGAATCAGGGATTGATGAAGAAGATATCATTTTCCAACAGGATAATGATCCCAAGCACACATCCAGAAGAGCTAAGGAATGGTTTGAAGAACATAACATCAATGTTCTTGACTGGCCAGCACAGTCTCCTGATGTCAATGTCATTGAACATCTCTGGGGAACACTCAAGAAAAAGCTTCAAGCCTATGAAAACCCTCCTAGAGGAGTATGGGAGCTTTGGGAGAGAGTAGCAGTGGAATGGGGGAAGATCACAGCTGAGGATTGCCAGAAATTAATTGAGAGTATGCCTAGAAGGATAGAGGCAGTAATTAAAGCCAAGGGAGGTCATACAAAATACTAGAATACCTGGTTATTATTGTAAAATATTTGAGTCAAAAAACTGTTCACATGAGTCACTATTTTGTGAGCCTTGTATCTCCACCATATCTCCACCGATTCCCACAGTGTAGGGCTCAAATGAAAGCCCTGAAGCCATACTACAATGTGGTATAAGCATGTCCTTGAGGCATTTGTTCGTTCTCACACAATATCATAGATAGTGAAAAATATCAAAACATGTGGACAGTTTTTTGAGCCACTGTATAAGAGATGTTATGATATGCCCTGCCCTGCTGTACTTTTTCTTCTCTCTTGTCATCTATTGTCTCCATCTGACTCATCTTACATTTACTGTATTATGTCATGTGCTGCTACTGTTGCCATTAGATGCCATCTATGTGTCCCATCTATGTGTACATTTCCTTTCTGGTATCTCTGACCTCATCGCACCATGCATATTAGGCATATGCTTGTATCTTTACTTACTCATACCTGCCCTAAACTCCTCCCAGTATTCCCTATAAATATGCGACTCATAACTGTGTAGTTTCCTTGCTTTAATCTTACTAGGTTTTACCTGGAATATCCTTCACTTAAGACCCCCAATCTTAAGTCATCTGAACAGTACTTTAAGTCAGAGGCACTCCCTCTGTCTTAGCTTACTCTGAACACCTGGCTTATCACCTTGTGTAGATTCTCAATGGAGGTTCTGACTCTTATTGAGTTGTCCATTGTTAGAACTGTCCTAGTTTGTAACAAGAGATGGATTACCAATTCTGCAAATTGTACTGAAATGATGAAAAAAGTACAGAGATATTTCCCAGCAAATGCACTGTATGAGAGAGCCAATCTTGTATCTCAAGTCCTTGAGGGTCATGTGCATGGGCTTCAAGTAATGGGATAGCATCCCCTGATACAGTGTCTATATGAAATGTGAGCTGGATTGGGTCAGCATCCTCTTGATGAAGAATATGATGGGCATGTTGGTACATATCCAACAAAGTATCATGGGCAGTGAGAATATTTGCAGACCATGGATTCTGATTTAGCATGCAAGATGGTAATTGAGGCAAAGCTGTTGGTAGCGCAGGCATCACAGTAGATTGACTTGAAGACAGAGTAGCATTTGGATGATGACAACACAATCAAACTTTGCATGAGAAGACAAGCAAATAATAGTCACTAATAAAGACATAACAGCAGCAAAAAATGCACCATCAGCAAAGGCAAAAAAGATCCAGGTGTTGATGGACACCATTGGGTGTTACAATATGAGGTGAGGCAGTCCCAAAAAATGTTGCAGGACCATCACAACAGTTGGCAGTGGGTGAAGATTGTGATAATGAGTAATATACTCTCTATAATGTTTATATTGATCAATAACTTAATAACCTTGTACTTTGACAGTTATATTGAGTAGCTACTTCTGTAAGCTTGTCGTGCATTTGCCACTTGTACATCAGTAGTGTTGATTACATAATGCCATGCTTTGTTTGCTGGCATTGCCCATCCCCACTTCCTAGCTGATCATTGTTCTTGTAAAACCTCTTGAATCATCAATATGTCAAAGGCAACTCAACACCCTGTTTACTACTTTCATGCATCAAGCCATATCTTGCAGGTGTGTTTTACTAATTTATTCTTCAGTTTGGACTCACAATTTGAAATATTTTGTGCCAGCAGGTTGAGAACATACTGTACAAGCTCTGCAGTTCAATTTTATCCTCAGCTTCCAATGTGTTTCATGATATGTTTGCTGCTACTCAGAACAGCAGTCAAATGGAGCTGGACAGCATGAGTGATAACAAGCCCATTCACCTCAAAGGAATATCCCAGGATGCCTTTAAGTTGTTTCTTGAGCTTACATTTGGAAGGTATGTTGATGCCCTTGCTCTTCTATTTAGCCACTTGACAATTTGTACTAGGATGCATGCTGGCTCATATACACTCAATGAGCTTACAAAATTCCTCCATTTCTGCAACATGTACCAATGCTGCCATGCATGAGAGTTTGTTGTTTCCCACATGTTTGCAGCATGTTTCTGCTTCCACCCAGCTCAACTAATAAACCTGGCTATCAAATATCATGTCCATTCACTTTTTCCATTTGCTTTTCAGCAACTTGCAGAAACTCCCATTACCAAGATCACCCATTGTTAAGAACCATGTTGCTCAAAGGAGAGAGAGACTGACTCAGAGGGGCTTGGCCTCAGCTTGTACACTGTGCCCCTTACCTGAGTATGTGCCCTTCATTTCGTATGAGGTCCAATGATGGTCCAACGAAGTCCGGAGGACTTCTGGAGGCTGGCTACTCTGCTGGAGAGTGCTAGAGGACTTCTGGAGGAGCACAGGAGAGTTCCAGAGGAATGCAGGAAGTGCTCAGGAGAGTTCCCACTGCAAGGTAATACTTCTACAGGAAACAGGATGGAAGGATAGGAGGTCCAAAGGTCCGGAGGACTGGAGGACAGGAGGGCAGGAGGACAGGAGGACAGGAGGACAGGAGGACAGGAGGACAGGAGGACAGGAGGACAGGAGGACAGGAGGACAGGAGGACAGGAGGACAGGAGGACAGGAGGACAGGAGGACAGGATGATGGAGGACAGAAGGACAGGATGTCCAAAGGTACAGAGGGCAGGATGTCCAAAGGACAGGAGGATAGGATGTCCGAGGGTTAGGAGGACAGAATGTCCGAAGGACAGGATGCCTGGAGGTACGAGGGACAGGAGGTCTGGAGGTCCAGAAGGAATAGGGGCTACATCGGACAAAGTCCGATGTAGAAACAAATGGAGGTAGACTACCCTAAGGTAGAGTTGGAGAGACAAGGGTTGGACCTAAGTCCAGAAAGAGGGTAAGTGCTGGAAAGGCAGAGCTCCAGCCTAGGGAATCAATCCCTAGGCCTGATGGGTAGGACAGACTTAGGTGGACCAAAGTCCGAGAGAGGATTGGGCAAGTCTAAGTTGATATTCAAACTGAGGAAACTACAGGAGTATCTACAGGGGTTATATACTGGAGAATATCTGAGGGGATCAATAAGCAAAGGAGCAGGGCTATGTATGAGCATGTGGAAACACATTAGTAAGTAAGACGGAACATAAGTAAATAAACTCGGAGATGAAGACTTGTACAAGGATCAATAAGCAAGACAGAAGAAGAGGTAACCGAAAGCCAGAAAGGTAGAGATGCCTAAATGGGGATAGGTGCAGGATCTCGGACAGAGGGTGGGAATAGGTCCAGCGTTAATATCCGGAGGTCCGGAGATCTGGGGATCTGGAAGACAAGGTGGATACAGGACCAGAATACGAGAAGGTGGATATAGTCCAGAATCCAAGATGAGGTGAAGTTCAGATGTCTTGCTGGATGGAGTGTGCATAGGGTGGATGGGACAGGGGGGTATGGATCAGGCTAGCAGTGGAGATCCAATGGTCTGGAGCTCAGGGGTAAATCTGGAGTGTAGTCGATCCTGCTGAGGTGTGGAGCACAGTGGAAGGGGATCTGGGAATGAGCTGGATATGAAGTGGGGTCCGGATGTAGGCTCAGAAGGCATGGGAATATGATGGAACATGGGTCCAGATTGTGGGATATGACACCCATGCACACCAGGAGCTGATGGGCAACAAGGTCTTTCTAAATGTGGTTTATGTTCAAGCTGCTCTTGATCACCATCATCAAATTGTGGCTGCGGAGGAACCAAGAATATTGATGCACTCAAATGATTGTGGTGACCCAGCTGGTTGCAGTGAGGATTGGCATGCTACATGGTGGAATAGTATAGGCCATTTTCTTCTCAATGGTAGGAACCCTCAACCATATGGTGATGCCATCAAATGCTTCAAGGACATGTTGTTTGGCCATGTCAGCGAGGGCTGTAAAGATCTCATGTTTAAAATTCTCAATGAGGGTGTGGCATTCCATCATGCAGAACACTTTATTACCAAGGCCTGCCAATTTCTATTAGAGAAACTGGTATATAAGCCCTAACATCTTGCTAGCTACTATTGTGTATTGGTTTACAAGAACTTTGGCATAGTCTTGTCATTCCTGACTTACTTGGTAGTTGGGGAGGAATGTGGTACTGTAGAATATCTGTCCTATCACTCATAATAAATGGGAAATGGACTTCGAGTTACTCATCTGTGTTGTGCTTGTATGTATATAAGCAGTAGAGTGAGCTACAAGAACCCACTCCATTACAGTAGCAGGAATTTTGTCCCTGAGTGTGATGTAGTGACTTGGCCTGCTAGCTATACAAACAATCAGCTGATACAAATATTTGATTTAGAAATTGTAACACTGCATATGTGCCAATTCCCGATGACAAGATTCAGAATGCTCATCATGTGATACTGGCCACATGGCACTTTTTCCTCAACTTACATAATCTCTTGAGGAAAAAGTGCCACATTTTCCTGGTCATGTGACTTGTTGTTGGGAAATTGGGAGTGGGAAACATGCACCACACACTACAGAACATGCAAATAATAAATGTGCAGGTGTTACACCATAACTCTAGGGCCTGCTGCTTACAAGATGTCACATCCCTTGACCTAATTAGGGTGTAAATGTGCTGATAAAGGTAGTGAGGGCCAAGTTTTTGAAAAACACATACTGCAATCTCATATGCAACACACTGTAGCTTAAGTGTGTTACAGAACACTTATGACTTCAGTAGTGTACTCATGTGATTGGTGGAGAGCTCAGATGCTGATATGTTTTATGAAAATCAATGAAATCAGGATTTGATTAGATGTAAACAGGCTAGATTGTACTATCATACTTATCAACATGATCAGATCAGTGCAAATAATCAATTGTACCACAGGCAACATGCAAAATCTACATTAAACCAGAGTGCATCATATTGAAAACTTCCTTGTCTAAAAACATATTCAAGTAGTATTTATCACAAATTTCCATTGCATTTGTAGCAGTTATCATGTGGTCCATCTTCAAGCCATACATAGGAATAAGCTCAATAGCACATGTAACAGCTGTCAGTGGAATGATACTGCCAGGTCAGAAGATCTAACCTGTCCCATCCTGATGGTAGATTACATGCCAGCAGTTGCATCCTCAGTAGGTATTGTTGAAGTCTGAGTGATCTGAAGAGAGAGAGATTGATGAAGCCAAAGAATCTGACCTGATAGGTATGGGCAGGAGAGAGAAGTCTGAGCACATGAGCCAGACAGGCCAATAGGCTGTGCCTGAATGATGTCAGCTTGCACCCTGCAATATATATATGTCAGAAAACTTCTCCTTTGCATTCCTTACTTACCTAGTATAAAACCAAGTGCTTATCAGACACACACATCTCAGTTCTAGTTGAAACTGAGATGTGAGTACCTAAAAACATGTATGTCAGCATTAGCTAACCAAAACCATAGTGTACCTTTGTCTTCTAGGTACTATGCATGTTAATACACTGAGTTCTAGTTGAAACTGAGATCATACCTTTGTCTTTTAGCTTCCTCTCCTGTTGTTCGCTTGCCTGTTATTGCAACACATGTTGCTGTGATCTAAAAGTATTGAACATATAGGAGGGGTGAGTCTTCAAGATAGTGAGGTAATGTTTGACCTTTCTTTGCAACAGCTTGAAAGATGCAATGCACTTGTGCAATATAGGTATCTGCATGGGCTCATTGTTACAAAAACATCTACCTGTTTAGCCCCTATTCATTTTCCCTAACTTTCACACCTCACTGGACCTTCCACTCTCAGGCAATCACCCCTATTTCCTTTTCTGACTTGTTCCTTCCATTTCTCTTTGATTCCACTGATCACTCTTGATAGTTGTATCACTTCATTGGCTCATCCAATGACTCACTGACCCTATGCCCTTACTGCCCAACCAGTATCCTTTACTTACTTTGGCATTCTGATTCATTGCGACTCATCATAACTCACACACCCCATACCCTTACCATTCAACCGGTACCTCTTACTTACTTTGGTATTCTGATTTGTCATGACTCATTCACCCTCTACCCTTACCACTAATATGGCAGACCTGCCCTGATCCCTCCCTACAGTATATATACCTCTCAGGTAGCACTTGTATTCTCTAACTTGAATCTACTTGGTTCTTACTGTCTTACTCTTTGAGCCCTAAGCAAGCTCTCCTCTTTATCAAGTATCTTCATTGGAGCTTATCACTGCCAATGTTCTTAGCCTTGAAAAGAGAATGATTGATGACTCACCATCATAATCATTGATAATCAATCATAGCCCTTGCAACTAGATTGATTGCTGTGAACTTGTACCATTGGATGCTTGCTGGTTGCAGCAGGCTTGGTGTGAGCCCCAATCCAAGTTCTACATTACTCATTCACTTCATTTGCCTGTCACAGACTTAGCTTGATTGTAACACTCATGAGCATATGAATGGTGCCAGCAGTGTAATACTTACCACTACTAGCGGACAATTGCATGAGAACTGCATCACAATTGCCCAAAGGGAAGGCTTCTGGCAGTGGAAATGCCTGGATGATTTGACTTGGCATCATGATTCATGACTGGAAGGTAGATAGCAGTTGTAAATGAAACTCATTCCATGTCCTGACCAAATCTCACATGCATATCCAGGCTGTTATTGGGGTGTTCTGGGACAAATTATTGATATATTCTGTGAACACTGTGCCAAAATCAGGGAGAGAGTAGATAGATTGCATATTGGTGATAGGAAGTAACTTTCAATCAGGAGAGACAGTGACATGAAATGCAGCATTGGCTTCAATGGACAGAATTCCCTTTAAAAATGGTTGTAAATGGGATGTGGGCCATGGAAGTGATTCTGTTCACTGGGGAGCACACACACTATCCAGGCCAATGTAGGATCTGTCTCTGTGACAATATTGTCCTTTATTGCAATTGCATTTATGAGCAGTGCACCATGTGAATACAGAAGGGTATAAAGATTGAAACATTGCATGGTTTCATTATGATTGAGAATTTGGATGACCTGTAGAGTGAAATTCCTGGCTTGCTGACCAGTCCTCTCAAACAGGAATTTGCAGTGTGTAATTAAGAGCCACTCACTGACATCTGCTGAGAATTGTATCAAACCACCAAGTTCTCTAATACACCTTGCAAAGCTGTGAAACAACTCCATCTTTGGGATGAGAAAGTTATTGATCATCTCACTCTTGCTCCTCTGAGCACCAGCATCGAGTTTCAGCCTATGAAACTCATCAAAAGAGCACACCATAGCATCAATGGATGAGTCAGTGTGCATAGGGCTCTGTGCCTGGTAGATGAATTTGGTAAGGGAATGGATAGTATGGACAAAGTCAGGAGTTGTATTTGCTGTGCCAGTGATCATGGGGATAATGGTCCATTTAATATTGTGATGTTCCCAGCAAGTCATTAGATTGATATGAGAGATGCTGGACCCAAAATGACATGTTCCTACTCACTTATGATGAGCTTTGAAGTGATCATCAAGCTTATCCTCCCCAACAACCTCTGAGCTTACATCATTTTAAAGGATGGTTGCCAAAATACTTGTGATATGTGTGAAGCATCTCACTGGGCAACAAATAGGACAGGTTTGCATATGGCCAGTCTCCCAAAAATGGCTAATGAATGCCACTCAACAACAATGCTTTAGCTTCATGTTGGAAGAGCAGGACATTCCACAAATTGACACATTTGTGTAGGTTGTAGATGAGTTTGAGTGTGTGGTTGCCTGTTTGATGGGGGAAAAGGTGTGAACTGCTGAAGTTGCTTTGGACAGCCATAATGAGTGATGATGCATTCTTTGAGACACAAGCAATTAGCTGTGCCTCAGGGAGATCGGCTGTGTATGTAACAAGTGGAGTGAAGCAGTGTTGCACATAACCCATGGGGTCTGGCATGTATTTGCCAGTCCTTGTGGCTACCTTACATGTGGCAAATATTATATCCATGCACTTATGAAACAGATGACTGTGGAAGAGCATTTGGAAATTCAAGTAAATGTCAAACTTTGGGATTAGGATAAATGCAACACAATGCCATGCATGAGTGGTTGCCTTCATTTGAACCTTGGATTGGATATTACCAATTGTAAAGAACACTGGGTGCATTTATAAATCCCCCAACATCCTCATCACAGGTGTTTTGTCTAACACAAGAATAATCAGTACCATGGTTGCACCTTTTGGGAGGTTGTTCTGTCATAGCACTGAGTGATTCCACCATACTACTAACAAAAAAATCATACCTGAATAGTGAAAACCCCATTAGCAGTAAAGAATTTGCTGTATTCACATTCTGAGCCAGTCATAACAATGTAAGGATCATACATCATATAGTTAGAAAATATTGGGTTTGCAAAAAGATCTTTGACAACTTCAAAGCCATCATACCAGATACTAAGCTCAATCAGCCTTTTAGTCGTGTAGTTGGTGAACTCAAGTGTTGTTGATTGCCACTCTAGGCCACTTGGTAATACATTGATCCAGCCAAATAGCTGGTTGGCTCTCTTGAAGGATGGACTATGTCTAGTTTTAAACTCATACAAAGCTCAAAACCACACAAATCCAAAACTATTCAAAATCATACTACTCACCCAATCTAGTTTTATAAATTTATTGATATTAGTGGGGTGGGGCACCCCTAGTGCAGGGGGTTGCAGAGGCAGATGTTTGTGAGGGTTTGAGCAGCTTAGTCAGGACAGAGAGACCATTCCAGATGAGACTGTAGTAGACACATCATTACTTCATCAGGATCATTGCCCAGGGCACATTGGCTGGAGTGACCACTCTATCATGGTGAGAGAGTGGGACTCAATCAATGCAACAGCTTCTACCAAAGTGTTTTAATGAATACTGATTAGTCAAAACACAATGAATGTCACAACAGTGAAATGTTAATGAGAAGCACCTGAAACATCAACAGACACACACAGAACGCACCTCATCTACATAGCCCCAGAGAACAGCCTACAAAAGCCTAGTGAACACCAGAATACCACCCAAGCCTAAACAATCTATCTGCCTCTTCATCTACAGTAGCATCTGTTGAATCTTCTCCATTAGATACCCCAGAAATGAGAATGTATGAACTCATTGATGATGACCTCAATCAATAAGACTTAGAGTACAAATCTTATGAGGTTCAACATCAACTAGAAAAAGCCAAAGAAGACCAGGAATTATTATTAGGAGCACCTGACCTAGACAATACTGAACTCCCCATATTTGACTTGAAGCCATAACAACTCTATTTCCAACCTTACAGCCATATATCCCAATTCCACTTCTACTCACCCAGCCTTGTCCATAAACACTGATCAAAGCTCCATCTGTACCCACCATCCCTACTCTAGCCCCAGCACAGAAGAAGATGACCAGTTCAAACACACCAGCCTGGTTCCATGGCAAATCTGACAAAAATGTGCAGAACTTCCTATGGGAGGTTAATAGGTATGTCATACTTAATGACCTGAAGACAGAAGCAGGGAAGGTCATGGTATTCAGTACCCTGCTATTAGCAGGATCAGTGGCAAACACTTGGTGAATGAAGCTTGATAGCAAGCACAATGCCACATGGCCAGACATAAAATTGGCCTTCTTGGAATGATGGCCAGCTATTATAGTAGTAGAGAAGACTAGATTGGATTACCAGCGCAAAATCCTAGCATCACATCTAATGGAGGAACAATTAGGAAAGCAGATCACTGTTGCTGGCATGCTGACAAGGTCACACCTGCAGTTCTGTACTAGCCTACAACAGCCTGTCAAGGAAGCAGAAACAGCCACAATGGCTGGTCTCATCTACCAAGTGTGAGAGAACCTACCAGCAGTAATGAAGGAGCTCACAACTCCAGAGTTAGCAGAGTGGAAGAAGTTTATGTTACAGTCAATGTATGCCCCTATTCATTTTCTCTTACTCTTATGCTGTATTACATCACATGCCACATGCTGCTGCTGCTAGACTTATCTCCAACTTACACTTGTATTATGCCACAATCACTATCGCCATCGCTAGGTACCTATTCTTGTTATCTCTGACTCGCCTTGTTATCTCTGACTCATCCTTGATCCCACATCTGCCCTAAAGCACTTGTGTTCACTATATATAGTCTACCTTGTATGCCTTGATACTGCACTTAATCTTACTAGGTTTTACCTGGAACACTCTTTGCTTAAGACCCCCAATCTTAAGTCATCTGAACCATATCTTAAGTCAGAGGCACTTCCTCTGCCTTAGCTTACCTTGAACACTTGACTTATTGTCTCATGTAGAATCTCAACAGAGGTCCTGACTCTTATCAAGTTGTCTATTGTTAGAACTACCCTAGTTTGTAACAGTTCATGGATGAGATCATGGCCATTGACACTAATAAGCTGTGGGAGAAAATAGAAGCAGCTCAGAAGAAGAAAGACATGGAAAAGGTGCAGAACACCTGTATCACAAGGCTAGAGAACTTACAGATAGATGCTGTGGAGGTTTTATGACTGCCACTACAATGAACCAACTTTGGAAGCAACCACAAATGCTAACACCCATCCATTCTCCAATACAACAGTACCATGTATATGCTATGTCCCTAGAGGATCCCCTACACCATGCCAACCACATTAACACCAGCCATTGACCCCAGAAGACTGGGACATGCTGAGGAAACATGTTGAGAAAACACCACACCACCAAGACAATGCAGCAGGAAGAGCAGCTTACAAAGAACAGTTGAAACAATGGTTTGTCACGAATAGTCAAGACAGTAGAGTCATGGAAGGAACTCCATTTCCATTATGACCAGGTAGTACTATGATATGCTCAGGGGAATGCTTTAGGTGTGAAGTGCATGGTCACATCATGTGTCATATCTGCATATCCAGATCTCAGATCTGACCCTTATCTCATCTCAGATCCACATCTTATCTCCAATCCTATCCACATCTTATCTCCCTCCAACATCTCATCATTCAATCTGTCCACTTGTCTGGTCTGGTCCACAACTCATCTGAATCCACAACCAGTGCTCATCTCCTTTTGGTAACCCCCTAACTCCGGTATTTCGGTTATCTGTATATCCGTCCTGCTCCCTGATCTGTTACCTATGTTTCATTTCTGTTTCATGATTTGTGATCTGTTTCTACTTACCAATAGACTATCCACATGCTTCGTACATAGCCTTGGACTCTGCTGATTGATCATTCCATTAGATACCTATAGTATATAACCTCCTGTAACTTTCGGTAGTACCTCAGTTCAAATATCATCTTAGTTCTACTCATTCCCATCCTCTGGACTTGAGTATCTCTACTCTCATCACCCTCCAAGACTTAGGATTAATTCCTATAGTCTACCTGTATCCACTGTCGTGCATGGTATGGAGTTCATACCATGACATATATAAGAAGAAGTATAGAAGAAGATGATTAGGAGAGTATATGAGGATATATTTCTCACTCATGAGCTTAGTCATCTATTTCCCTTTATTTATTTAGTTGTATTTATAGTTTCAGCCACTTGATTACATCAGTGAACCACTCAGATATGTTTGTAAGCATGTCATGTGACTGGTAATATTCTGATTTGTAAGGATTTTTCCATGACTTATCATGTTTTGTCATGATTTGTCATGCTTTGTAATATTTTGCAGTGCTTTGTAATATTTTACTCATGTACTTTAGTAAGCAGCTGATTCAGCACACCAAAAGGCTTGGTTTGTAAGCATATTCTTACCAATCCAGTGATGAGTCATTGCTTAGTAAGGATGGTTTCTAAAATGTATATAAGGACACATAATCAACAAGTTTTTCCCTCTTCTTTCTTGTCTCAAACCGTGAGATTTGTAAGATTTGAAGTGCAGGAGTTTTCCCTCTGTCTCAATAGTGTGAGATTACAAAGAAAGTGAAGGCCTCGAGATTGCCTTTGAAAACTATAGTATTTCTAGTCTAGATTGGTTGTATACTATCTTACAGGGATCGCCTATACAACAGTCTATCATATTTGATTCAGCAGAGGTCCATATTACCTACTAGGTTTAAGTTAACCTGACAAAATATATACTTCCCTTTACTATCAAGAAGTGATCTAGCAAAGAAGTAATTTATTACCCTTTGGCCACCCATGAACAACATGTTATCAACCGAGAAGTAGAAAATCCATTGACCGTGAACTTGAGGAGCTGGCACCTTAGTCTTATTGAAGTACAATTGTGATAGTCATTGTATTTCACCTCAACTTATATAAGACCCTCAAGTAGTAAGACACCACCTCTGTCTCCAACAGTCTATTACCATTAGTTTCTAGTCTGGACTCATCTGGATTAGCCCCATGATACCTATCCTGCATCCAGAAGTCATCTGGATCCATTACGATACCCGTCTGACCTTCCAGATGCGTTAGTCTTGCCTTCCTGAAATAAGGGGCAATACTCGGGTAAGGGGCACAGTGTACGAGCTGAGGCCAAAGCCCTTCAGATCCAGTTATCCCTTGAATACAACCTTAACATCATGGCAGAATGCCCAATCCCAGAGGCATCACAGCTGTCCCTGCAGGAGGAAATCTGGTGCAGCATCACAGCTTGCTTGCTAGGGAACTTCAATCAAGGACAAGCTGTGCAAATTGCCCTAGTGTTTGAGGATGAGTATGTACAGCAATGGGAGTAGGGAAAAGGTCAAGGGTTGTTAGCTTAAAGGACAGCCAGACGACCCAACTAGACACCTTACCTCAATCAGTTGGACACTCTGTCCTCACATGCACAGAGGCAGCATGTGAGGACTAGCCCAGTAGCCCTGTCAAAAACATGTTATGCATGCAGTCTACCATTGTATCAGTACCAGAACAATATGAAATCATTGACTTGTATTTAATGGAGGATGTGAAAAGCAACACACCAGGAAACCAGTCCTGCAGACCCTTCTTGCAGTACATCTCACTTGCAGGACCCAACAGTAAGACCAACAGAGTTAAAGCTCTATTCAATGAAGGCACAATAGTCAGCATGATGTGTACATTGGTGTTTGACCACATCAAACACAGATTAGGGAATTGGAGACCATCAATCAAAAGACTCTGGATGGCCAATGGAACAAACATCCCATCAGAAGCAGTGTGGAGAGGCAAAATTGTGCTAGGAGGAGTCTTAGTGCAAGGTGAATTCTGTTATGAACTAGGATGGTTTGAAACAGTCAAAGTTCAAAAGAGAATATTCAGAGACTGAGTTCTCATTCTCAAAAGAGAGAAGGTCTAAGACTAACAACAAGGAGTGCTTGTTATTAGAATATTGGTTCAGGCAACTAAGGATTGGAGGTCCTTAGTGAAAGATCAGGTAAAACCTAGTAAGATTCAAGTAAAGAGCTACAATGTATAGAGTTGCCTATTTATAGGGAATAGCTAGGAGAGTTTAAGGCAAGCATGAGTAAGTAAAGATACAAGCAAATGCCTAATAAAGGTGAATGTGACAGAATTGGTTAAGACCAAAAGCAGTAAGTCAGAAAATAACAAGATAAGACAATCTAACAATGGCAAGCAGTGATCATGATGTAATACAATGTGAGATAAGAGAAACAAAAGAATAGGGGCGCACATTGATTGTAACAAATTCAAAGTCTTCAGGAGTGGAGGCAGCTGGAAATTCCTATTGGGCAAACTGTTACTGCAAGCTTTCAAAGCTGTTCATGACTATGACAAGGATAAAGTGCAAGTAATGGGAAACAGAGGGACAACAACACTCCACAACCATGAAGTGCACACAGCCAAGATGGTCAAAGTGGAGGACTATGAAGCAGCAAATGTCATTATCAGCCAAGGGTCAACATAGGGGGAGGGCATCCCCCCTCAAGGCAAGTCAATTGAGTAGAGCAGAACCTGACACCAGATTGCACTAACAAACCTGTTGAAGGAGTGGGAATGATGGAGGAAGTCAATGTGAAAACCAAGGACAAGACCCTGAAAAATGATGAGGAGGAATATGAACAAGGAAAAGAAGAGAATGCACACAAATAGCAGGAATGCAACCTGAGGAAGAGAACGAGCAGGCAAAAAGACAGAAAAGAAACAATCACACAAGCAGGACAAGTAGCAGCAAGAAGGATCAGAGGGCAACATTATAAGGAGAAGAGGTTGCAAACACATGTTCAGCAAGCAATAGAAAGGGAGAGTGAAACACTCCCCTCAAGGGAAGTACCTCTCATGAGCAAAACAATGCAGAGCAATCAAGTAGACACTGACACTGCTCCTGCACCAGAACCAGGAATAATGATATGCATCAATGCAGATGGAGACCCAATACCAGAAAGCCAACTTGACTCACCTCTACACAAAATTCCAGTTGAATTCTTATGGGATGATGAAGCAATATTCACCCACTTGTCAGACCCACACAATCCATGATGTGTAGTCTGGATAACCAAACACGTCCAGTTCAGCAATGACCTCAGCCCAGAAGAACTAGAACATGCAAAGAAATTAGTTGGAGAATATGCTGATATATTTGCAGGCTCACTGAAGGAAGTCTTACCAGTTCCAGGAGCAGTACACAGACTCCACATCCCAGATAGCAAAACCTTCAATCTATGGGTACATCAATGCCCATTAACGCCAC